AAAAATAACCTGCTCAATGAGAAGGAACTCATGTGTGGTACCATAAACATAGCCAAATATACGTGACTGGAGAGGTCAGAGATCCTAGAGAAAAACCTACTTTTGCCACATTCCTAGACCAACATAATTCCTTACTTTATTCTAAATATACAACCTCATATTTACAGACAAGCATACCTTTCATCCCTCATTGAAGAAGCTTCTTTTTGCAGCAGATGGAAACTATTACAGAGTTCCAGAGCTGGTCAAATGCAGAAATTTAGTGTCTGTGAGATGCTTAACACTAAGTCACACATCTTCAATGCAACCTCTATACTTAGGATGAATTCATCTCTCAATTCTCACTACAGAAGTTTCCTAATGCAGCAGATGGTGATTAATACAGAAACCCACAGTTAACCAATGTTCAGAGAACAAGAGGCCACAATGCACTTATCCTTGATTAGGATACCTATTTCAACCTTCTGCCTCCCAAGGTTAGGGATCATTGTAAAAGAGAAGGCAGAAAGATTATAAGAGCCAGAGAAAGGTGGATGACTATGAGGAAACAGAGTCTTCCAGACAATTGATTAGTTACTCATATGCACTCACAGCTATAGTGACAGTATGCACAAAATCCTAAGCAAGACACAATCCAAGCACAGACACTGGGAAGTAGGTAAGAAATCTCAAACCAAAGCAACTTTTGACAATTTATGGATGCTGGACGGTGGAGATACAGTATCTTATAGAGATGGGACTTTGGGGGGGCCCACTGGATGGACCCACACTGAAGAACATTGGAAGCAAAAACGAGTCTCTATTGGCCATAAAGTATATGTTAATATATATTATATATATGAGCGCATTAAATTTGAGGGGGGCCATGCGGGAGAAGGAGTGGATAGGAGAGGGATCTAAATATCATCAAACTATGCAGTACAAAATTGCAAAAAATCATTAAAGACACATTAATTTATTTTCAAATGTCCATAATTCCTAATGCAATGCAAGTTTGATGGAATTCTATCAAATTCAGACATAGTAATAGATTAGTAAGAGTAAAAAATAATAAAATGAAATAGAGTAATATGCTGTAATAAAATTGCCAGTCATTGCTCTTCTATTTTGATGTCATTATTAAGTAAAATATAAGTTGCTTAAATACAACCACTATGATTCTATGACCTTTGATCTCATCGATAAGATAGCAAATAACTTTTTAAAATGTAGGTGGCACAGAGCCATAGCTGCATTTAGCTTCTCTTAAAAAGTAGAGAAAGTGTAATTTCTGTTATGCAGATTGTGAAAATACTATAAAAAACAAAAAAAGATCAGATACTTCATTTTTGATTACAGACATAGAGAAGTTTTATTCATATTATTGAACAAAATCATTAAGTAAACTTCACACAGCTGGATCTGGACATGCTGGCATCTGCCTATAATTCCAGCTCTTGGGAAACTGGAGAAGGAAATTGTGAGTTCAAGGTGGGCATGGGTTATGTAGTTAGTTGGAGGCCTATCTGACCTGAAAAACAAGACCTTGTGTCAAAATATCCAAAATAATAACAGCAAAGGCAAAATCAACATGGCCATAGCCTGCATTCAGTTCTTAGAACTGACACTATCACATCTATCAGCAGTGAGAATATATATGATCACACATGAAACATAACTCATTAGTGGGTTTTAAAGACATCACTCACCTTTGTCTGCAACTGATACCTGGAATTCTTTTTTTGATTATGTATGTGTGTGTGGTATGTATACATGTATTTATGCACATTTGATGTGTGTGAACACAGGTATAGAGTACATGGCAAGTGTGTGCAGTGCATTTGGAAGCCCAAGTCTGATTCTGGTGGCTTTCTCAACCACTCTCCACCTTATTCACTTGAAATAGTGTCTCTTGTTGAACCCAGAGCTTGTCACTTTGGCTAGCATGGGTAGAGCACTTGCTCTAGGGAATGCCTGTCTCTGCCTTCTGTGCATTGAGATTACAGGTGGGCCACCATATGCACATGGCTTTTACATGGTCCTGGATATCTGAACTCTAGTCCTTATACTTGCATGTCCTTCAGCCACTGAGCCATCTCCACAGATCCTGATTTGACCTCTTACTGAGAGAATTCCCCAGACATCAAATACTGTGCTCATGTTGATAACAAACAATGCATTTCTTCATTCTAGAGCTTATTCTTCTGTGATATCAAAGAGACATTTCAGGTTTTGTATGTGCTACATGAAACCCATTGCTTCCTTCTGCTGCTAACCTTAAACTATTAAAGCATTTCACATTTCATATGTTGGTCATTTAGCCTTCTAGTTATCCAAGCAACTAGATTACTGTTTTCTCACATTCACATGCAATACCTCAGCAGCTAATATAGTATTCATCATTCAAATACATTAAAATAATCTGTAGTATTTGGATTGAATGTTTTGTGTATCTGTTAGGTCCATTTGGGCTATGATGTAATTCTTCAATGTTTCCTGATTATTTTTGTTTGAACAGGCTGCCTATTGTGCAGTGTTTCACTGGAGAAGACCACTCAGACAAAGTTTTGCTGAATGAAATTCCTTTATATGTTTGCCAGTGATGACACAATGGTGTCTGAACCTAAGCACAGCCCCGAGCCGTCTCAAGGGTAAGCTTTTGTACAGAAAAAAAAAAAAAAAAACATAACCAGGAGTGAAAATTTAAGTTCCCTAGCTTACAGGTGGAGAGTCCCCTTAAGAATTTCAATTCTATTAAGCAACAATTACTATTTTGCAGATGCAATCCAAGCATAACGTAGAGAAGTCATAAATCTACAGTTAGCAGATACACTGAAGAACACACTGACCTATTCTCAAGACAATTGGGGTCCTGATGATATGTGTTCCCATGCTCTGAGACAACTGTCTGATAATTTTAGAGGCTAGAGTTAGCCTACACTTCAGCACGGCATAGCTGTGGTCGAGAAGGTGCCATATCACATGCTCATTAGTGAAAGTGAATTACTGAAGTCTCCTACTATTGCTGTGTTGGGACTAATCTCTAGGTCACTGACTAGCAGTATTTATTTTCTGAAACTGAGTGCACCCATGTTTGGTGCACATATGTTCAGAACTGTAGTTTCCTGTTAATGGATTTTTCCCTTCGTCAGAATGAAGTGATCTTCCTTATCTTTTATGATTAGTTTTGGCTTGAAATCTGAAAACCACATTATTTATGAAATTTTATATATGATTTGTAATAAATAGAAATTGTATTATTACATTTGTTTGGTAAAATTTATAAAATATCAAAGATTTATTTAAATTGTATGAGAAAGGTAAAGGATTTTAAGTGATTACCACAAACTGCTAATACAATGGTCAAGAAGTAGTTTGTTCAAAAAGTAAATCAAAGGAGAGGCATGGTGTCGTGTGCTTTAATCCCAGCATTCGGGAGGCAGAGACAGGTGGATCTCAGTGAGTTCAAGGCCAGACTGGTCTGCATAGTGAGTTCCAGGACACCTGAGGCTACAGGGAGACCCTGTCTCAAAAAGACTAAAAGAAAAAAGTAAATCAAAGTCCAGAAATATAGGCTCTAGGAGGGGGGAAGATAAAGAAACAAATATAATAGTTTGAGTTCAGATAGCAAGTGTTTATCAGACTACTGGTTTTTCTCAAACTTTACTCTTTTTTTCCCAGAGTACTGGGGTCTTGGGGGGCACAGTTTGTTTCAGATAGACATTTAATACCAACATCAGCTTTACAGCTACCTATGGCCATGTGACTAAATTCTGCTTAGGAGTGATGTGTAGCCAGTGCATCAATTGCTGAAAATGGTGTCGCTTTTCCTCTCCATCTCTTCTCATTTCCCTTCCCTACAGGTAGAATAGAAATGATGCAAAGAGACCCTCAACATTCCAAGAGAAGGCAGAAAGAGACAATGGGAGCAGAACCTTCATTCCAGAGTGACATAATAGAATCACAGCAGTCTTGAAAGTTCATAGTTACACTGCCACACGAACTACCAATATTTGAGAAATGAATTCTTATTTATAGCTTTATATTTTGCTTTGTTATTTAACAAACTAGCTCTGTTGTTCCACATCACCTCTAATCTAATGATGCCAAATAGTCATCCTATGATGCCAAATTATTTGATTCACATTTTTCTTGAGCTAGTATTGCCTTCTTTTTTAACCAATTTTGTTTATTATTTTTAATTTATGTGTATGTGTGTATTGCCTACATATAGATAAGTGCATCCATGTCATGCAATACCTGAGGAGGAGAAAAGAGGCTTTCAGATACCCTGGAACTGGAGTTATGGACAGTTGTTAGCTGCCATGTGGGTGCTGGGATTCGAACTTGGGTCTTCTGCAAGAACAGTCAGTGTTCTTAACGACTGAGCCATCTCTCCAGTCCCACTATCACCTTCTTTATATTTCACTGTTGGTCAGAATTTTGAATTCCATTCTTCAGTGTAAAGTGGTATAGGAAATATATGAGTTATAATTTCAGACTTGAAGAAGTCCATAAGTAATCTTTCATTCTGTCAGAATATTAGCCTGAAGATGTTAGGTAGGAAAGCTGGACCACATTCTGAAGGATAAGAGATCAAAGAGGAATGAGCAAAGATAACCTAGGGAATGGCCTGTATCAAAATCAAGAAAAGCAATTAAGACCATGTTGGAAAACTCAGCTCATTTGAAGTTCTACAACATAAAGAAAACCTCATGAGTAAGCAATGAATAAACAAAGGAGTTTTCCTTCACACAGAAATATGTGACTCTAGATATGCTCAATGGACACCGGTGGATGGACTTGTACTGATAGACATCTGGGTACAAAAGCTTGACTCGACAGGCCTAAACATATATTGAAGAATGCATGTAATACAGTGGGGGTGGGACTATGGGGGGCTATATAAGTGAGAGGGGTCTGAATATTATCAACGTTTTTTGAATATTAACAAAAATTTGATAAAATATACATTGCAAAAGTAAGCTACCACTGTAAGTCACTAAATTGGGGGGATTTTTCTATACAATAGATAATTGATTGTGTAAAATGTGTAAATCTCTAATTAAAATTACATGATGAACAGTCTTCATCTTCTCATTGGCTTTCTTGAAAGCATTACGAACCTCTTTATTCCTTAAACTATAGACAATTGGGTTCAACATGGGAACTACTATTGTATAGAACACAGATGCCATTTGATCATTCTCCATTGAGTGACTAGAACTGGGTTGCAGATACATGAAAATGATAGTTCCATAGAATATAGTCACAGCAGTGAGGTGGGAGGCACAGGTGGAGAAAGCTTTCTCCCGACCTTCAGCTGAGCGCATCCTCAGGATGGCAATGACTATGAATACATAGGAGGTCATGATGACTATGAGGGCCAAAAAGACATTGAAAGATGTTAAAATAAAAAGCACAATCTCACTCACATAGATATCAGAGCAGGAAAGGGCCAGGATTGGGGGGATATCACAGAAAAAGTGATGGATCACCTTAGAGTGGCAGAGGGAGAGGTCAAAGATAAACCCAGTGTAGACAGAAGATTCAACCAAGCTGAAGACATAGCAGCTGATCACCATGTAAATACACGTACTTGTCGTCATGGTGGTAGTGTAATGTAAAGGCTTACAGACTGCTGCATGACGGTCAAAGGCCATGACAGCAAGTAGGAAACAGTCAACGCTTGCAAAAGTCACAAAGAAGAACATTTGTGCAATACATCCCCCATAGGATATGACTTTGTCCCCCACAATAAGCCCAGCCATCACCTTTGGAGTTACAGCTGAGGAATAAACACAGTCTGCCAGAGAGAGGTTACTGAGGAAAAGATACATGGGGGTGTGGAGATGAGAGTCCATCCAGATCAACCAGATCATGCCTAGGTTCCCAGTGAGAGTGATGACATAGATGAGGGTGAAAGTTATGAACAGGGGAACTTGCAGCTCTGGGTTGTCAGTCAGTCCCAAGAGTATAAACTCATTCACCTTACTGCTGTTGGCCAGAGACATTTTGAAATTGTGTTTTACCTGTCAAAATAAAGAAAGCATCATGAATACATTGCTGAAATCTGATTTACCCATGCATGAGGCCCACAATTAAACCTTTAGTGATCTCCACAGAGAAGTAGAAACATTTATAAAAAGGAATAATAGCAATAATTCACAAGGCTGTTTGAACAATACAAAGAACTGTAGGTTTAAATCACTCAGAATACTGTTTACTGTACAATTAACACACAATAAATGCTAGACATACCATTCTTAAATATATATGATGCTATCAATAATAGTAAGATTATGCATAATTTCTGAGAAGAAAGAGGAAATCCAGGAAATTGGTTAAATTGCACTAAAGAAGTTTATGTTATCTTACTTTAATTCAATTTGTGTGAGCCACATACCACTTTCATAAATATTAAATACTAACTTGAGGCCTGTTCAGTAATATAAGATAGGAAGTTTGGAAATGTCATCTTTTGTTTCAGGATAACCTGCTGAAGGTTAAGTTGAACCCCTTATCTCACTCCATTGTATAATTTTATTATAAAAGACTCAAAAAAATTTATAAAATTCATGGTAAATATATGCTCCAATTTGATAAAGCCTTCAGCAAATGAACACTAGTACCAGAATTATTCAGCTTTGCCTCTTTTTCTCACACTTCACATATAATCTCTAAACACAAACTATCTTCACAATATTCCACAAATCCATTCCCTATTCACTACTCCAAAGGAATCACTCAAACCCAAGATTTCATTTGGGTCACAGCTATCAAAAACTGAGACTTCAAATTAATCCTTGGGAAAATTAAGACCCAGTAACCATGCAATATGCAAATATCGGTGCTTAGAGAGGGTGGGACTAAGGAATAATTATGGGAGTTTTGTCTTTTCAAATAGAGAGAAAATGCATGCAAAGACTGCATCTTTTTCAATTATTAGTTATTTTTTGATTAGTTCATAAATCCACATAAGGTATTCTGGTTACCCTCTACCCCAGCCCTCTGTTATCTCCATTCCACCATTATCAATGCCTCCTATTCCCTATCCCTTCCCTTTCCCAGATTCATCTTGGCTTTGTTTTTGTAATACACTTGGTTTAACCAAGGGCAATTGCATAACCATTGGATCAGAACTATCCATTAGAGTCTGGGGAGTCACCAGGCGATAGACAACCAAAAACAATAACTCCCTATTTCCTTGACTCGATCAGTAAGAAATGTTCAATAGTGAGGGGAAGGGCCCCCTGAGCCCTTTCTCCATCCATGACTAGCTATTGATGTGCTCAATCTTCTTTGTGTCAGACACTGGTGTCCTGAGTCTTGCAGATTCTAAGTTCAATCAGTTTAAATCTGAGCACAAGAGCCTAGATAGCCAGAATAAATAATAAACGTGCTGTTATACAGAGAAGTGTCTGTGAGTTGCCCACTCCTAAATGATACATCTACAATGCAACCTCTACACCTAAGACTCATGAAACAGTGGAACAAGAGGTAAAGATGCATCTCTCAACTCTCACCAGCCAACCTTCCTCATGCAACAGAGGGAGATGAGCACCAAAGATCACAACCATTCAAAGTGTAGAGAATAAGAGACTTCAGAGTGCATGTCCCTGGCTAGGACTCTATATGAAAACCCTGCCACTCAAGACTCAGGGACCATTTCAGAAGAGGGGGTGGAAAGACTGAAAGAGTCAGGGATTGTGAATGACCCCAAAGAAACAGAATTTTCCAGGCTTCTGCTCATATGAACTTACAGCAATGGTGATAGTATACACAGGCCCCATGCAAACTCAAACCAGTCAAAAACCCACCATAGAACTGAGGAAATGTATAAGAAGTTCCCATCTTAGCCAAGGAACTATTGGTAGCTGATCACTGCTAGGTGAGGAAGAGTTGCTATTCTTTAAGGGAGTGACACTAGATAGGCTAACCAGGCTCCAGTGAATGAAATCACTCCAAGAGACATCTGGGGACATAAACGTGACTCAATATATCTTAACATATAACAGAATGCATGAAATCCAGTGAGGGGGCTTTACAGGTGGCCCAGATGGGGGAAGGGATCTAAATATGTTTAAGATATATTGTATGAAATGCACAAAATTCAGTAAAAATATATATTGAAAATAAATAAATATTGCTGTTATAAATGTGTTTCTATATGACCCAATGTATTTAGCATGGTGCTCAACATGTAAGAGAAAATCATTCTACCTGAGAAGCTGAGGCAGAAAAATTGTACATTCATATCATGCCTGAATGACAGAGTGAGTTCAAAACCAGTCTGATTAACTTAGCAAGAGTGTCTCTAAACAAAAAATAAAAACAAGGCCGGTAGGGAGTTTTTATGCCACGAACAAGACTCTGGGTTCATTGTCCAGCACTACCAAATAATAAATAGAAAACAGGAAAGGAAAAGAGGGAGAGAAGAAAGGAGAAAGAATAATTTAAAAGAATGATTAAAGAATTGTAAAATATAAAACAGTCTGAGACAGTGATATGTGTCTGGATTTTAAGCTATTCAGCTGGTTTTATAATTTAGCTTTTTAAAAACATTTTTAGAAGAAGCATTTCATTACAGCTTTAACATACTCAATAACAGTTTCCAGAGCAAAGATACATCTCTTTCAAAAGTGGCTATAAAATTTTTAGGTTCACTGTTAAATTAATACACTTATACAATATTGAACTCAGTACAAGACCTGTAAGACATAAAATTGAATGATTTTTTTAACCTTAAGAAAGATCTCCATTTCATTTTAAAATATACTGTTTCTTACAGAAAGACTCATTGCTTTTGCTAAGATGTTGGCACATGCATCTCTAATCTGTATGCATCTGATTATTACGAGTCATAATTGGTTGCATTCGGATCCTTGGCACCTGTGTATGTCTATAAAGTTTTTGGCTATATTTTAATAGTAATGTTTCTCACCTCTACTAATTAACATAATGTAAATTTTTACACTTCCTCCTCAAATATAATTCATTTTTAAAAATTTGTTGATTTTTTTGTGTGTGTATATCATACAAAACATCCCAAACCTTCTTATTCAGTTATACACCCAATTCCCAGATGGCACCCTCCCATAGCCTCCCTCCCCCGACTAGAGTCCTTATACTCTGATATCCCTGCTACTGTCCGCTGTGTTGTCAGCACCCCCAGCCATTCCCCACTGTGTGTCCATCTGGTGAATCTAGTCAGCCTATCTAGAGGTCTTTGTTTTAGGGAGGTCAGCTGTTCCTCATCTAGCAGCAATCAGTTGTCAATATTCCTTTAGATAAGAAATACTCAATAAGCTGAACATGATATCTAAATTCTCCAAACATCTTTCCTTCTGAAAAATAAAGGTAATAGGTGCTACATAATTGCTGGAGAAACGTTATGCTCATGTGTTTCAGTGCTTGTTGTGTAGCAGATCAAAACTCAGCCTTAATTGTTTGTTTTAACATTCATTTCCCTACCAGTATGTAGCATATACCATGAAGGCAATACATTATTTAGGTGAATGAACTACTGAAGGAATACTTTTAATTCTTCCGCAAAAGCAGCTCTTTAAAGAGCAATCTCCACTGATAATTTAAATATCTCCAATGATACCTACTCTGAGATTCCATTTGAAGACTCTATGCAACACACACTAACATACATTGCACTGATATTTTTGTAAGAAGAATCTTTTAATAATATAATCAAAATATCTTATACTATGTTCCATACATATAATGTAGGTAGTTTGCTTTAAAATCCCCTCAAATGGACTCTGAAAAAGATACTTGAAATTACAAGTATTCTGTACTTGCTAGACCATAAGCAATAATAATAGTTTATGAAATGACATTTAAAATATAAATGAAATTCGTGTATTATTATTATATGTGTTGGTAAGATATGCTATATACTCTTTGACTATTTTTATATTAATTTTTGTTTGTATCTGTATTTATTGTATTTATTTAATTTGTGTGTGGGTACAACTTGTGGGAGTTAGTGTTCTCTTTCCTCCATGTAATTCCTAGGATCACATTCAGGGCCTGAGGCTTGAAGGCAAGGGCTTTTACCCACTGAGCCATATCACCAGCCCCTAGGTGGGTTTATGAGAATTAATTTATGACATGTTGTTAAAATACAGTATTTTACAAATGAAAAGTCATAGTCATTAGAGGATAGTGAAATGGTTCAAACTAGCATTTAAAATTTTTAAGTTAAACACTACTGTTCTTATTAGTAATAATTTCTCACACAAGTAGCAGGTAGTGTGTACACCTCCTCTGTTTAGTGTTTGCAAACATCATCTGATTGAAGACAAAAGGATCAGAAAGGAAAAGTGAATCTCAAAAGAACAGAGGTATGGGGTTCCATGGAATTGTTTTTTTCTTGTAGATATCTGTCCGAGCATCTGTGTGCATTGTGTGTATGTTGCATGCCACAATGTAAATTTTACTTCTGGATATAAATTTCATATTCACAGAACACTTGATCAATAGCCAAAAATGAATCTTTTCAAAGTTATACATGACTATTGCTTTAGAGACATTGGAACACACATTCACAATATGATCAATAAACAGGTCACTGGTCATTCATAGATACATCTTATTCATTCATTCATTCATTTTTTTTTTGCTCATTGTGTCAACAGATACTTACTGATTGTGCTCCATGTTCTAAATAGTGTCCTCAGGACAGAGCTTTTAGATAGTGAGAGTAATGCAATCTTCTACTATCTTAAAATTTTTCCTCTTTCTTCTGTTAGTGAAGCCGCTGTTTCATCTGGACTCAAAAGTAAAAGGCATGAACTCAGAAAGATATTAGATGCAAGGATGTTAAATTCTGAATACTCCATGGGAAGGAAGTTTTCCTTGTGTCTTTATACAGCATGTCTTATATTCCATAGTCTGAACAAATCAGACAGGACTGAACTAAGGAAGGTGACAGTGTCACTTGGAATCCAATTGAAAGTCCTACACAAAGAAGGAAAGAGCCCTTAAAGAAGTTATTTCT